CTTCTCAACGTTGCTAATGGTTCATTTTTTCTTCAGCAAAAAAATTTCATAGAGTTTGCAATGCTTCTCGTGTGTCAAACGCTTGATGTGTTGCCAAAAAGGTTGGTAATCCAAGTTTCTCCTGTACCAAGCATCCTGTACGGTTTCTTGAGAATTTTTAGTAGCGCATCACGAAGTATGAGCAGGATCGACGACCAACAGAAAATAATTCATCGCCAGCTTTTGAACCCGTTCCTTCTGACGCTCCTCCTACCATGGACTCCACAGGCATAACGTCAGAAACCACATCTAGCGTATGAGTCACTTATCTTCGAGTGGGGGTTTTTCCACTGCCGTGGTTGCCAACTTCTTCTAAGGGGACAACTCGAGTAATAATTTCTTTTTTTCTCATTGTTTAGTCGCATTTTCCGATTATGAGTAAGGTTCATCGAGCCTTGTTAGGAATGCGGAGACACAGACGGCGGAGAAATTTCTGAAAATTTAAAAGTCTTCACAAAAAACTCACCGACAGCAGACAGTGCCTCTTTTCCGTAAGAAAACAGTTGACAATCCAATGGGTTCACTCTTTCATTAGATGGATCGGCTTGCGTCAGCCAAAATCTTCAGAAAATCTCCCGTGCTTCTTTTTCTCAATTGTTGCTAATACATATTTTTTGTATCAAGCATCCTACATAGTTTCTCGGGAACTAGCATCAAATCACGGAGTCTAACTAAGATTGACCGATTTGGTTAGTCAACGTGTGAGCGCAGTTGATTTGGCTTCCGGATTTACTATCAAGACGAAACAGTGTCAAACTAGTGATTAGAACAAGTTTTCAAGTTATTTAGCATGTTGTCGTATGAAGCTAGTGCAGGTAATGGAGGTACATCTTTATGATAAGCGAGCAGTGCTGAAAATACTGATAATAATGAAAGAACATATCAAGGAAACTCACCCAACGCTCGTTTTTTTGAGATTCCTGAGTTTGTTTTGACAGCATTGTACTGGTTTAAAAAATTGTATTCTTGGAGTGGGAAAAGTCGTGGTCACATTATGATAATGGCCGCACACTTTTTTGGATAGTTTGAAGGATGAATAGACTGTTCTGACCATCATTTTATCCTTCATGGCTATCTCCGTCACTTTCGCACAACCCAACCGCTGGTAGGAGTTTCCGGAGAATCATCTCCACAGAAATTGCATTGCCAGCTTTTGAACCCGTTCCTTCTGATGTTCCTCCTATCCACACATGAGGGATTTTTGGGAATTTGATGTCGCGAAAAATTTTCGAACTCTCAATTTTGATACATTCGCTCGCGATATGGTGTTTTTAGGATTGAACGAGTACGAGAAACACAATGGTAATAAAATGCGAGCTGAGAAATTTTTAGTTTTCGAAATATTTAGGTCGCAATTTAAAAACCCCTTCATTTCCAAAATCCCTCATGTGTGCTCCTTCGACGGACTCCATAGTAGTGCCGTCAGAGACTACATCTAATTAGGGAGTCACTGAACTTAAAGTCGGAGTTATTGCCACGACCGTGATTTCCAAATTCTTCTAGCGGTACAACTTCAGGCATAGTTTCATTTTTTCATTTTTCATCGTTTAGTTGCAGGGCATCTAACATTCAATTTCTGATTATGAGGAGGGTTCATCGAGCCTTGTTAGGAATCCAAAAACACATACTGAAGAGGAATTTCTGAAAATTGGAAATGCTTATATAAAAAACTCACTAATAGCAGAAAATGCCCCATCTCCAAAAGCGATTGGTTGATTCCCAGATTTTTTCATCAACGAAAATTTTGAGCCTTCAGTGCTCCATCGTATATTAAACTGGTTGATGTTTTTTCAAAAATGTTCATGATAGCAGATGAAGACGCAGAACAGACTTTCCACAGTTTTCCTTTGTTCTTGAGTTTCGAAACAGTGTTGGGAACCGTGAGTAGCCATAGTTTTTTGAATTATTGGGTTGAGAAATAATCCTTGAGCTGAGAAAACATACTGAGCTTTCAGTAGAGTGCAATGAAGTCCGGGAATCGTGCGTATGCATAAAAACAGCCGTTGGGAGAAAAATAGACCAAATCGGTCCATGTCTCCGGCTTCACGGATGGAGAACAGATGCTTTGATTCCTCCATCGGTAGATGAAGCAAAGCTTCTCTGAAAATGTTCAGTTTTATTAGTTTCATTTCTCTGAAAGACTCGCACTCTTACTCTCACGGACCTTATTTGTGAAGGACAAGCGAATTTAAATGAATCAAGATCGTCTAGTTTCCAGGTGGTGCATGTTTAGCGAAGAGTGTCTAGTGGAAAGAAAACTTAAAGAGCTCAGCCACATCGTGCACATCTCCGAGAAAATATTATATATTATCGTTTCAGAATCATCATGATCAAATCCGTTCTTTGATTGTGGATCTTCAGATTGCGACAAGCGATCTCGTATAGTTTTAACGAATTCCGAGTAGATACTTGCAGCGCCATCAAAAAGGGGTTTCTATCATCTATCCTCAAATTACATCGAAGTTAAGTGGCGACGTGTCTGAAATTCCAGAATTTATGAGTTAAAAATCATTAATCATGAAACTTACCAAAAATGGATATTAACGCTGACTGTAGTCGGTAGAGTCAGAGAATCACCAACATGGCAAAATAGATATAAAGATGAAGGTCCAAGCCCATTTTCACACAGTAGCGACACCAGTGCCCAAAAGCCTTCTCGATGAAATCGTTGCAATTTTCTGCCGGAAGCCATTATTACCTGAATCGGAAGCTACTGTTAGACACTTGCATTAGCTCCAAAAAGGATTTCAGCCGTCTTTCATCTATCCTCAGGTTGAACTCGGATGTGGTTGATGCCTGGACTGTTTTGAATGAGCATGTAACTTCTCTTCTGACAATGTTGAAATTAACTCCCCCGTTGCTGAAGTATCATATGTTTGAACAAAAGAAGAAAAATGTTTGACCTTACCAAAAAGCGATACCAGTACTACCTGAAATCGCTCTGCAATCATATAACCCATAAATGATTGAGATAGTCCAAAATTTTTAAAGTATTGTGTCGAGAGAAACCAAATCCATTATTCGAAAATTTGAAAGCAATTCAAAAAGCTAATCAACATCAGAGAGCGGATTGATTCGTTTATCTCCAGCTAACACTTTTTGAAACATTTAGTCAAGAGAACCGAGGACCGATCAATACAATGAATGCGCAGGCAGAGAAGGGACGAGTTCGTTTGTGCGGAGACGGCCGCGTTGGAGTCCAAGACTGACCTCTATTAATTGTGCGTGGGTAGGCGGACCACTAATCGCACGTCTCTATCTACGTTGTGCGACTCTCTCCAGGTCATGCTGGGCATTTCTCTCCAGACGTGAACGAAAGATAAACGGAATGCACACGAACAGACAGGATAACGGAAACAGTTGAGGCTCTATGGACGGACTGTGAAGGAAATGAACAAGACTAGAAAAGATTCTTAAGAGTAAGAAAATGGAATTACCGCTTGAGATTTCTCGGCAGATTGTCAGTTTTCTGGGGTTTTCCCTTCGACTATATTTTCAAGTTTTTTCCATATCAACATAGAACCTTCTTCACGGAATATTCTTTGCCGGCATACTGAATCTACGTTAAATGTTCCAACTAATGGCATCATCCAGCAGAAAACGTTTGTGCCTTTCCGTTGGCATATTCAAACGGGTTTTCAGGTACTGCTATTGTCATCCACAAGCTGCTCGATCACGGCTCCAGAACAACTTCAAATTCAGACGGCAGTATTGATGACTCATTCACATTTGATGCCTGGAAAAAGACTAAAATCGATCAGGGACCAACAAAATTTTAATCGTTCATCATGTTTGGAGATTTGTGTTCACAATCGATGTAACGATGGATTCCAATGACCGATTAAATCGTCAGAGATCATCATACAACCTGTTTGTTACAACAAAACTCGTTTTACGTCTCTTTTATAAGTTCAGAACAGTTTTCTTTGGCGAAAAAGGACATATTCCATATGACTTCATGGCAAAATCTGATATCTATTTTTTATATAAGTTTTACATTTTAAATATCTTTTACATTTTAAATATCTAAATTTAATTAAAAGAGAATGAATGCACCTTTAAAGATTCACTTAAAGAAATCCATGTTTTCGTCCTTGAACACATAAGTCTTCTACAAAATCTGAAAATAAATTTGAGGAAATAATTTTTTCAATCAGTTATCTTATCAAATTCATGTTTTTTCCTCGGTATTTCTGAAAAAATCTGTAAAAAAACATTTTAAAAAACAGTTTTCCGAGAGGAGTACACGAGTACATGACCGGCGGCCTAGAATACGCAGAGGGGGACAGCCGCAGACATTCGTTCGTCATTTTTCCGATTTCTCCTTCTAAATCGTTTGTATAGGTCGCAATAAGAGTATAATCGAAGAATATACGATTTCTTTTACTTGTAGACGTGTTGCGATAAATAGAGAACTCAGTTGTTTGCGAAAATCTTGAATATCTGAAGAGTGTCAGCGGGACCAACGCGAGCGGACCTGCGAAAATCGATTTCGCGGTGACTCACATATGAGCGACAAATTTTCCTGCTAAATTGCATCATGTACATTTTCGAATAAGGTTTTGAGTCAAAATCATATTACAAATCGGATCTGTGAATGTAAAATGCAGCTTTAGTCAGAAAGTTTTTTTAAGGTTCAAATTACGAAACTCCCTTATTCTTTTCGCAAAAATTATCACTACGGCAACATTCATGCTTTTTGTGTATTCAAATATTGCGAACCATTTTTTTTGAATAAGTATTCATCGACATGTTGTTTTATGCCACGTTTCCTAATCTCTTTTTCTCTCCCCCCCTACCTTGTTATTCACTCTCGCGCGCTCTCGATGTTCTATCTGTTCTATCTCTCTGTATTCGTTTTAGCATTCTCAACCGAAACCAATACCTTGTATATTTCTCAACTCTGAACAATATTCCTTTTGTATTAACCATTCGCTGTAAATTAAATATTCAAATTTCAGATGGCTACATCTTCTACAGCTTCTCTCGAGGATCTTCCCGACCCTGGCCAGGAAACACTTGTCATCTACACTAAATGCCGCGAAGAGCTGGACCATTCTTACGTTGAGGAGTTCAAGCAGATTCCAAAGCCCGAGGAGCACTATCCATGGTTCACAAAGTACATTGCGACATATGTGTGCGAAAACTTCATCATGTGGCCGGAAGCAGGCAAAATGAGGGTTCGTGAGACGTAGTAACATAACTGCAATCTTTATCTTTGATTTATTTCAGAGACCAAACGACAAGACGAAATGCCGTGCAAAAATTGTGGACGATGTGAAGGCTTTGGATATTGTCAAAATCCACAAAAAGCTTCAACATGAAGTTGCCAAATGGATGACACACATCAAATCCTCCGAGATAGAAACAGAAAAATTCAATGAAGCGATGTTTGATAGATACTACAAAAGAAGATTCGAAGAGTGAGTTTCTTTCATAGTACTTTCAGATAGTGATGATATTTTTACAGCCTCATGGGTTGGATCAACCCAACATTGGAGTTCATTCAAGACTACCAGACCGATTTTCTCTATCTCTCGGATCAAGACGAAGAATTAATCCATGGCCACATCGAGAAAATCAAGGACCAATACAATCTCGGACGCCTTGGTTTGAAGCAAAAGGGAAGCCCACCAAAGGATCCAGAGTCAAAGGTGGAGAACGCAGTTGTTCGGGAGCTGGAGACGGAACTCAATCGCTTGAAGCGCCGTATCTTGGTTGCTGACAAGTATGTCCAAAGTCTTTCCTCGAACCCAAAGGAGAGCGTTTGCGCTCAGCGAAAAAACGAGAGACCATTGGATAAACAGATTATGGATATTCTCCGGGAGATCGTCGCCGCCATGGACGTCTGGAAGAAAGAGTTCCGGGACACGTAAGCTACATTATGGATTTTCCGTTAACAACAACGACTGTTTCAGGGAAAGCAAGAAGTACGTGGAGTCTGCGGAGTTCTTCTTGCGTCACGTAATCACTCAGTTCAATGTACTCCGCGAGAAAGAGAAGCAACTCGGTTTTCAGAGAAATGAGTCGTTCCGAAAGCCAGAAAAGATGGAGAAAGATCATTTCTTCGACACCGAAACCAGTTGCGTTGAGGTGAGACATTTTGCAATCACCTCCTCTATTTAGTTTCCATGAAAACTGAAAAATGCTAATTATCTTTGAAGAAACTTTTTGTGAATTAATAACTTTCAGCTGAGCAAAATCAACATCACACTGGGAAACATTTATTCTCGTGACGCCTGGATCACTCGCGAGTTGAAAAAGAAAGCACTCGCAGAGAAGGCAGCCGCAGCTAAAGTTCAAGTTCAAGTTCAAGCCAAGAAAAATCCAAACAAAAAAGAAAAGCAGTAGCTTGTTTCACACATAATTCCTTTTTTTCTTCCAGTTTCTCCATTTTAATATTATTTTTCATTCCCCCAATTCTTCCCAACGCCCGATGTTTCTCATTTCCGCTAAACCGCCCCCCCCCCCGTAAATTCCGACTTTTCAGCTTAACTTTGCTTACTTCTTTCTTGCTTCTGATTTTTGATATATCTCGCTTTTGGTAATAAATACAGCTCCTCAATTCATTCTTGATCATTAACCACTTTTTTATTGATTCAAATCAATTGAATCTGTTTCTATCATTAGTTTGAATTCGGTTACTGTCGAAGAAATTTTAATCGAACCAATGTAAATGGAAGCTTTTTCGACTTCTACCGGACCTGTGCTGTGACTTTGCATCATGTTGAGCACATGTCAAAACGTTTCGAGCATATTTTAAAAGAAACCGTCTCTGAATGACATCATCTGGCTTCAATCGTTGCTGCGTGGCAGTCTTCTAGTTGGACAAACATTTCAATTTTTGTTTTTTTTAAAGCTCGATTTTACATTTAGCAAAAAAAAGAGTTACTAGAAATAAATAAAAGATGTTTCATGCTTCTGGCCGTCTGACAAATAATACGAGCAGCATCAAGAGATATTTGATACATTTTAATAATGATCCTTTATATGAAAAAAAGAGAAAAAATCCGATCAAGTTGAAAATTAAATATATGATCTACTCGAGCGTCGCCGGCAACTTATATTCAGAGATTGCTCAGACTCCTGATAAATCACTGATAAAATTGAGAAAGCTCCAACAAACATTCGACGAATTCGGCAGCACTATAACATTCAGCTTACGACCAAAATGGCCCTTTTCAATCACCCAAATCACACTGATCATCGCCTTCCATCCATTTTTCTGTGTCTCCTTGATTGACGCACTCTTTCTTTTTTCCACGTCTCTTGTGATGTGTGTAGTGGTTTCGACACAGATGTTCGTTTGAATTTTGTCAGGGACCAAAAAAACGACACGATCGATTTGTTAATTGTCCCTACATCCAACCGCTCTCATTTGCATTCAATTCAAATTTTTGTCGTCCTCGGGATCGACCGTGTTTTTTATCTCTCGTTTTCTCGGCATGCAAACGGGCATCTAAGTCGGACATTCTTGTCGCAAAGTTTGACTGCATACCAATTTTCAAATTTTGTTTGTTTTTCAAAAAATGTTTGAATATCAAAACCTTATAAGCGTTGTTTAGTCGCAATTTTAAATCGAGGTTCCTGCTGTGCCGTGGTAGTGTGAAGTGTAGTAATTTTTTGCTCAGAACCACTCAAACCCTGCACAGCGATATATCTTTCAAAGTTGCGTGTTTCTAGAATAATCGTTCATCATATTTGAAATTAACTGAAACTTCAATTTGTGGAAATTCGCGGTTGTGACTGGTTGTGTGTCCGAATTCTTCACAAATGTTACCAATAAATATTTATTAGAAATGATCTTCACTGCCATGAAAAGAAGAAGATTCTAACACTCAAATAGTGCCCCACTAATAAGTTTCGATTATGATGACAGTAGCCGATTTGCTCAAAACTCCTATTCCATAGATTGTCTCACTTTCTTTTTTGAACCGCTTTGACTTTTCCCTTTCCTTCTTTCAGTTTCTTTTTCCGTATTCGTTTTCGAACTTCTGATTCTTTCGACGTCAGCAACACATAATCGCCTTTCTCATTCGGTGCCCTTTTTTCTTCCTTCCCAAATCCCGATTTTCTGATCCTTCCCAAATCCCTGCGTGTTATTTTAATCAACACGAATCCGGCTCCGCAGTGTCATGACACCTTTCCTTCTCTGGCTCTCGCTCCCATTAATTTTGCCGTTTCTCTCTCCGCTCTTCCTCTCTCTCTCCCCAGCCTCAAAACGACCATCTGCCTGGAGCAGCGCTCTCCTGCTCACGTCTCCCTTCTTTTTGTGGCGCGAGAGAAAAAGATTAAAGAAAGTGCTGCGTACTTCTCATCACTCTCTTTTAGCGTGTTCTTTTCCTTTCTGGTGTCTCGATTTTCATTACGACAAAGTTTCAAAAGCCTTTTTGTTTTCCTTGTTAATTTCCTTCTCGATTTTCATCAAGAGTCTTGCGCTCGCACAACTCTCCTTCTGTATTCAGACAAGAAAAAATAATCAACATAATCGCACGAAATTTAGAATACATATTACTTCATTTTTCTCTTTCTCTCCTTTAACTACCCTCTATTTTCCTTTTTTTATGCCCCCTTTTCTCTTTTTTCGCATGTATTACAGATCTCGTGGAAAACCTTCCCAGCTCTGGGCCCTCTATTGCATTCCATTTTGACCTCAAATTAGCTCTACCTTTTTTGACGGCGTTAAGATATCATTTGCCATCTGTCTTTCCGCTTGTTACCAGAAAAATAGAAGATTATGACGTGAGCTAGTACTCTGTATCTCGATATATCGCCGCTTTTAATTTCTTACACCCGTTCTTTTTCTCCGTACCTTATCATTGTAGGCTTTTCTATAGGTCCCTTCTTATGCAACGACGCCGCATAGTCTTGTGTTTGCGTCTCGTATGAAAAAATTTCAGCTGACAATGAGTAAAAACAAACAAGAAACCATTGAGTGGAACATCCAAATCTACAAGCAAGAAGCCGAAAAAATGGATGCGTTGGTCAAGGAACGTTTCAAGTTACTCACCCCACCAACCGACTACTGTAAGGCGTTCACCAACTACTTGGCAATAATTCTATGCGAAAACTACATTACTTGGGTCCCAACACAAAACTGCGAAGAGGTGGGCCTCTTTTTCCCCTCTAAAATGAATTGAAAAGTTTCAGTTTGACTTCTACGGAAAAACAATTGTGCCCGGAGAACTAGAGACGAGATGAAATGTCGACAACATATTATTGTGGATCTTGTGAACTTGCATCTCGTCAAAAACCACAAGCGTTTCCGACGGCCACTCATGTATTGAAGATGTGAGCAAGTTCATCAAACGGACGTCCTCAATGAACTTGTCAAAGCCCGAAAGACAACTGATTTTGAAAAAGTGACACAAAGGCGAATAAATTATATTTCGGATAATTTAACTTACTTTTTTCCAGATTATACATGAAAATTGAAGCGGTTCGCGAAATGCTTTGCGTCATCGATATTACTGAAACATTCGACAAAGAATTTGACGAACTTTTGAAATCAAATAATTTGGAGGAGGAGAGTCATGACCAACCAAGCCAAGAAAACGGTTCCCCTCCAGCATATCTCAAACCACTAAAAGCAATAGATGCCATGTTGAATACGATGGAAAAACGGGCTGCCGATCGTCTTGAATCCATTCTAACGGCTCACAGGAACAATTGGCCAATTCTAGATGGCGATGGATTGCTGGCATTGAGCATTGAGGAACATCTTACAGCCGCCGAAGAAACTCTAGCCAAATGGCAGAAAAAGTACAGCGGCAAGTAAGTTTAATTACATTCAGTACCGGTCAATCAGACAGACAAAACCAAAACTTCCAGTTCATTTTTAATCATTTTGACCTTTTTTTCAGAACTCGGGAAATACCTGAAAAACCAGGGATTCTTAAAGGAATCGGTGAATGAAAAGTTCTTAATCTAGTTCTGTTCTACACCCTCTAAAGGTTTCAAAATGATTGGAAACTTGACCACCAAGCTCCTATTTACTGTACATGTCATATTGTCATAATTGCAAAGTTACAGACCGGCCCGCTGTTTCATAGAAGCTGATTGTTTAGAAATTCTTCTTGAAATTTTTTTCAAAAATTCAATCAAAAACTATATTTTTGACTACGTTCTACTTTGATAACTTTTCAAATGGTGTAACTTTTCCTCTTTTTTAATTAAGAAAAATTTCCCGATTTTTCATTGGAAACTTTTTCACTGAAAAAAGACGTGCCGAGAAAATTGTAGTTTCTGCGCGGCCTGTTTTAAGTGTGGTACATATAACAGATAGCGACTCACTCTCCTGAATATAAGAAGGAGCGATTTTCAAAATTTTCAATTTTCATCCCAAATCACTTCGATTTCCAAAATTTCTGGGAATTTGGAAATTTTACGTGATTCACAGAAATTGAACGTTGCAATTTCTGGGATTTTTCACAGAACTCGAACGGTTCGAGTTCTGGGATTTTGGAAATTCACGTGATTTTACTGAAACTTCACAGAAGTTTTGGAAATCGAAGTGATTTGGGATGAAAATTG